ATGTATGTATATGTATATAGTGTTTATATTAACATAGGTATTCATAGTCCGTTTTTATATTTAAGATTGCTTAAGTATTGTCTTAAAATTTTATGAACCAATTAAAAAACCATATTAGTATTAGTATTTTAAGACGACGATAACGATGATTTAAGACGATCTTAAATATAAGAAATGACTATGAATACCGGCCATAGTCAATGTTTATATAATCGAACACTTGTAGAAAACGATTAATTAATTAAAACATAACTTACCTGTCACTTATATCATAAATTAGAAGCGACGATAAGTATTCAGGATTTTTTGTATAAATACTAACAGCAAATTTTGTCCCAGTTGGATCAAATAACATTGATTGCACCTTGCATTCATTATTGTAAGATATTTGCCTTTTTTTCTCTAAATATGAATACTCTTCATACGAATTTTCATGTGTATATTTTTGTATCTGAACAAAACCAGACTTTTCACTTGCTATATTAACATAATATTATTGCAAATTTTTTAAATCTTACCTTTATTGAATTTGAAGAACCTGATATAATATGTTGCGATGTTGCATCTATGTGTCTAATGTCATCGTGTACATTGTAATGTGTTATTAATTTTTTAATATAATTTTCTTCATGTAGTGATCCAATTTTCCAGTGCCTGATACTACCATCTCTGTAAGAATTTTTGTACAAGAAATAAAAAAAAGAAATAAATATAAGACAATGTCATAAATATAAATACTCACTTGTGGCCACTTATAATTTTATTATTGCAATAAACAAAATCTCTAAATTTAGAACCGCTATGTACTGTAGCCATTTTACCCATTTTAATGGTACCGTTATTTGCGCGGTTATAAGCAAGAAGACTATGCTTATTACAAAGCAAAACTGCATTTTTAGTTATTTGTAGGCGTTTTCTAGTGTCTACAAATAAGTTTATGTGATTGTATTTATGTATATTACTTATTCTACATATTTTATTTATCCAGTTGTAATGCGTAATAAATTGAGAAATACAAGATAATTGTGGTTTACATCTATAAAAGAAAATAAGATATATAAAATAATTATAGAATATATAGAATAATATTTTATATACAGGGTGACTCAAAACAATCTGATGTCCTTGCAATGCCATATTCTTGAGCGAATTCTAAGACGATCTTTTTTTTCGCAAATTTTCGAAGTTTAATTTTCGAGTTATAATTGAAAATAGTTAGCCACTTCGACTACGAGTCCAATACAACGAATAGGCAGAAATGGCGCAACGCGTCAATAGACTATATAACCCTCCTAAACAGAGACTAATAACTCTCCTAAACAGTCAATATTATTGTACAATGTTTGATATTGCACAATATTATTGAACGTTTGAAGTTTGTATTATTAGTGCATTGTCTATACAATATTGTACAATTATTATTCACCGTCTAGGGGGGCTATAACGTAACGCTTGAAAGTGAGATATTCGATAACGCGAGTTTTACATAACTGACAAATAAACTAAAAATATAAAGCCGAAGTAGTGCTTATGGTGTGATTAAATATTAGTCTCATAACGCGTTGCGCTGTTTCT